CCACCAGAGGCATTTTATGACACCAGTGCATTTGTGTGCTTTTGGCTGTTAGACAAGGAAAATTATGTTACACTGCACGTCTCCTAATTGGAGCCAGGAAACTGAGCCCAATTTGTGCCTCAACTCTGAATGCCTTTTAATATTTTGTCATGGCTTACAGCTAAACCAATCATTTTTTGTTTTATTTTTACTGTATTGTACTATTCTCTGTGTTAATGAATAGACATTATCCACTTCTGTGCCAATTCCATCTTTACAACTGCTGACACTGAATAAACCTCTTTCACAACTCAGCAGGCACTGGAAGGGTGGCAAGATGTGATTCTATTAGGCTTGTAAATAGCCACTCACCTACAGGCCTGGAGCAAGTGAGAAATGCTTAGAACACAAGAAGAGTTTGATGGATGAGGCCAATGGTCCATTGAGTCCAGCATCCTGTTCTCACAGTGGCCAACCACATGCCTGTGGGGAAACCCTCAAACAGAATCTGAGCACAAGAGCCCTCTGCCCTCCTGTGGTTTCCAGCAACTGAGATTCCAAAGTATACAGTCTCTGATTGTGGAGGCAGAGCATAGCCACCATGGTTAGTAGCCACTGATAGCTCTCTCCTCCATGAATTTGTCCAATCCTCTTTGAAAGCAAGTTCCATAGTTTAAATATATGCTGTGTAAATAAGGACTTCCTTTTCTCCATCCTGAATCTTCCAGCATCCAATTTCATTGACTATCTCCCACTTGGACTACTGCAATGCACTCTATGTGGGGGAAACTACAACTAATCCAGAATGCGGCAGTTAGACTGGTAACTGGGAGCGGTCGCCCAGACCACATAACACGGGTCTTGAAAGACTTACATTGGCTCCCAGTACATTTCCGAGCACAATTCAAAGTGTTGGTGCTGACCTTTAAAGCCCTAAACGGCCTCGGTCCAGTATATCTGAAGGAGCGTCTCCACCCCCATCGTTCTGCCCGGACACTGAGGTCCAGCGCCGAGGGCCTTCTGGCGGTTCCCTCACTGTGAGAAGCCAAGTTACAGGGAACCAGGCAGAGGGCCTTCTCAGTAGTGGCACCCGCCCTGTGGAACGCCCTCCCACCAGATGTCAAAGAGAACAACAACCACCAAACTTTTAGAAGACATCTGAAGGCAGCCCTGTTTAGGGAAGCTTTTAATATTTGATGCATTACTGTATTTAAATATTTTGTTGGAAGCCACCCAGAGTGGCTGGGGAAGCCCAGCCAGATGGGCGGGGTATAAATTATTATTATTATTATTATTATTATTATTATTATTATTATTATTATTTCCACAAGTTCTAGACTTTCACTTTCTCTGTGCCTTGCATAATTTTATAAACTCCCTATCATGCACCTCTTACTCACTTTTTCTCCAAACTAAAAAGTCCAAAATGCTGCAACGTTTCCTCATTAGAGAGTCACTGTGTCCCCTTGATCATTTTGGTTGCCCTTTCTGAACATTTTCCATAAGTTTCCTATTTTTGCTGCACTGTGGTGCCAATAAATGACAATAATGCAATCTCAAAAAGGAAGCCTTGCAGAACAGCCAATCGAGCAGAATAAACCTACCACTAATGCAAGATTATCGTGTCCATTACACGTCACACAAAGCACCGAGCATTAAACACCAGTCCGGAAGGGTGCCTAAATTGTGAGACAGCTAATTATTATTTTCATGGGCCAGTAAACTTCTGTCGGCTGGCTTGTGTGATCCACCTGACACGATTGCATTGGGTAATGGAGGAGAAATTAATCCCATCCACAGGATGCTTTTGAAACCACAGCAATAAGTTTCATCACTGTGCCAGTTTTATTCTTGAAGTGAATGGGGAAGCAAAATGTGACCTTGACAAACGGTAAAAGTGTTTGCTGCAATGGCGGTCCCAGAGACAATTTTCTCTGTGGCAGCAGCCCCCAATTTGCGGGACTCCCTCCCTACAGAGGTATATCTAAGAACCTTCCTTGTATGACTTTTGCCATACGCAGAACATACACCTCTTTTTGCCTCAGCCTTTGACAGCTAAGGGCTTCTGTTTTAAGGAACTCGCCCCTTTTGCACAATTTACACACTACTGTTCTATTTGGAATGGTTTTATTGGTTTTATTTTCATTCATTTATTTATTTGCATTTATATCCCACCTTTTTCTCCAGGGAGCTCCAAAGTGGTGTACATGGTTCTCCCCGTCCTCATTTAATCCTCACAATAACACTGTGAGGTAGGTTAGGCTGACTGGCCAAGATTACACATAGTGAGTGAGCTTCATGGCAGAGTGGGGATTCGAACCCTGGTCTCCCAGATCTTAGCCGGACACTCTAACCACACTGTCACTCATTTCATTTTATCCTCATAATATTATCATCTGTTTTTATAACTGTATATTTTAAACCACCCTGGGACCTTATTGTGAAAGGTTAGTAAGAAATCTTATAAATAATTTTAAGACAATAGAATTAATTGATTAGCCCCATCATAACCCCAACAGGTACCAAGTACTGTTTATTTTCTAAACCACCCTGATATCTTTGGATGAAGGGTGGTATATAAATTTTAACCACAACAAAAACTGTCCCTTTTCTCTCTGTGCCATCTATCTACTTTCTGGGAGTATAAATCTCCATAAATAACAGGGAGAGCGCTTAAGATTCTTCTCAGTTTGTGCTCATACAGACATTTTTCTTTGTACAGTATTGGGGGCCAGCTGAGTCTGTGCCCCCAACAATCTACCCTCTAGAGAGAGGGGGGTTGCATAACCCCCTATAAATCATGGGGGCAACCAGCTTTCTCTAAGTTAGTTGTCCCACCCAGATGTTCTATGAATATGTGACCAAACAAAAACACAACTGAAGGATGGGGGTGTCCCTTTGAGACAGGCGTCTCCAACCTGGTGCCCTCCGGGGCCTGATGGGAGTTGTAGTCCAACCGTATCTGGAAGGCGCAATGTTGGCGAAGACTGAATGTAATAAGACCACCATGGCCAGAGTTTTATTGACTGCGCCGCTACCCCAGAGATTGCAATCCCCGCGCCGGGTGGCCCACATCGTGGATTCTCCCGATCCATCCACCCACCGATCCCGGGGACGTGGAGGGGAAATCAGTTCCCCGCTTGCCGGCGCCTGCCGCGGGTAGTGAGTGGGGTGGAGATTCTGCGGGCTAGATCCAGCCCCGCGCAGGGTGGATTCGTTCCTTCCCCGTGGGATGATTTCCCCTTACCGGGTTCGAAGTGGTCCTGATAGATCTCGCCTCCTCTAAAGACGCAGAAGGACATGGCAGCGATCGCTCTCTCCCGGCCCCTGACGCCGCTCCGGCCGCTTCCCGGTTATATAAGCGGCCGCCCTCCGTCCCTCCTCCTCCTGGCTCTGTGTGCTCCGTCGCCTGCAGTTCCAGCGGGAGCGGCGCCAGGGGGCGCTGCCGGGCAACACTCCGCCGCCCGCGGAAGCCGAGCGCGCAACGTTAGCCCACGCGCGAAGAGGCTACGGGGGTGGGGGGGCGGAGGGGCGCTCAGAGGAATCCCGGAAGAGCTGGCGTAGGATCAGGCTCAGATTAACTGCCTTCCTGGAGCAAGTCAAAACGGGCCTCTTTAGTTCCGGTTTCCGTTCCCTCTAGTGGTCGACCAGATGCAGGGGGCAGTTGTGTCCTTTTGTGGGGGGTGGCGTCCAGGGCCCCAGTCACCAGAAGGAGTAAGAACCCCTCAAACACACACACACACACACACACACACACACACACACAATGAAACAGGACTGGCAATGCCACATTTTGAAGGAAGGATGTGATCTGTGGTGGGGCCACCACTTTCAAAGCCCTGCTGGCCCACACTGATGGAAGTGTGGAGATGGGCATGGAGAGATCTCTCTCTCTCTCTCTCTCTCTCTCTCTCTCTCTCTCTTTTTGTAAGGGGCAGCCACAGACATTTTGGAGGTGGAGCACTGAATGACCCATTAAGGTAAAGGGACCTTTGACCATTAGGTCCAGTCGCGGACAACTCTGGGGTTGTGGCGCTCATCTCACTTTATTGGCCGAGGGAGCCAGCGTACAGCTTCCAGGTCATGTGGCCAGCATGACTAAGCCGCTTCTGGCGAACCAGAGCAGCCCACGGAAACGCTGTTTACCTTCCCACCGGAGCGGTACCTATTTATCTACTTGCACTTCATGCTTTCGAACTGCTAGGTTGGCAGCAACAGGGACCGAGCAACGGGAGCTCACCCCATCGCGGGGATTCAAACTGCCGACCTTCTGATCGGCAAGCCCTAGGCTCTGTGATTTAACCCACAGGGCCTTACCCTCTCCCTAAAGCAAGGTGAGAAGCTTAAGTCCCCCAGGGACTCTCCATCTGGCCCCCAGGACTCTCCCCAGTTATCTCCTGCTTATCACAAGGTTTGTGTTTGGCTACATAGTGTAAGAAACTATGGAACTTGCTCCTGCAGAAGAAAGTGAAGGTCTCCAACTTGAATGGTTTTAAAATACTGTAGGAGGTTATAGATGGTGACTACCTATGATGACTATGCTCTGCCTCCAGTGTTAGAGGCAGCAATGCTTCTGAATACCAGTTGCTGGAAACCACAGGAGGGGAGGGTTTTTCTTGTCCTTAGGTCCCACTTGCAGGTTTCTCTTTTGGGGCATCTGGTTGGCCACTGTGAGAACAGGATGCCACTGGCTTGATCCAGCAGGTTCTTCTTATGTAAAGTAAAGAAGAAAAGGCAAGTAAAACTGCTCTAGTTTTTGCACCCTAGAACAGCAGCAGCAGCAGCAACTGAAAACTTTGCAAGGGGTCCCTATTTCCACAGTTTCTCGTTTTCCCAAGGACAGAATTGCCAAGAGGAGAATGCTCATGGCTTGTCCTGAACTGACCCCCACCTCATTGCAAGAGGAGGGGAAAGGGAAAGAAGCCACACCCCCACGTTGTGATTGGCCAGCTCTGCTATACGGTACCTCTGTGTGCAATCATAGGCTGTGGGAGGACGGGGTGGGGGGATGGAGCTCCAGCATTCAGTGGAGGGGGAGCTTTTGAGAAGGGGGGCAGCAGAGAAGGATTCTATTTTTAGCCTCTTTGATCCAGTGGCATATGGATCTGTAGGATGCTACTAGAAATCACAACAAGGTTTTTGTTCATGTTATCCCCCAACCCCCGTGAAATTGCATTCCTTCATCTCACTGTGCTCTCCTTTGCTGTCCTAGAGATTGCAAACGGCGGCGGCAGCACGGTGGCGGCTATGTATCCCCCATCCGTCAAGCAGATTTGTCACCCTTCCTCGAGACTGGCTGGGCATGGCGTGTTTCTCAAAAGCATCCCTTCCCTCCCCTGCCCCCCCTGTGATTGGACCGCACAGCGGGAGGCTGCAGCAGCATCAGCACCAGAATGAGCTAAGGATGCTGTGCTCCCCGCATTCCTCCATCCCTGGCACTCTGCTCTCTGGGCCAAACCTGCAGCTCTCCCCCCCTTCCCCTCCCCCTCCTCAGAGCCCTGCTTCTGCCATGGCCAGGATGGCTGTAGCGGTGGCCTCAGCCGCTGCACTTCAGCTTAAATCTGGATCAGATCAGGTGGTGATGCAAGCAGGCAGCCGCGCAAGCTGCGATGCTCCTGTCCAGACTGGTAGATGGATAATCCTGTACTAGCAGCTGCGGGGCCGCGTGAAAAGGATCACCATCCGTGACCCACGTTCCGGTCCCAAGGGGCAGCAGGAAAGTCCAGATCTTGGCCCGCTGAAGGCATAAGGAGGAAGGCACCCCCCCACACACAAAAAGGTGAGCTTGATGGAGAGGCTGGCAATTTTAGGTTCTTTTATTTTTGTGTCGAACGCTAAGAGCAAGGGCTGTGGTTTGGAGGTGCACTCTGGGGGCAAAATATACGGAAGGGAAATAACTTTTTGCTGGACTAATTGCTGTGCAGGTGAACGTGTAGCAAGGGATGCAGGCTGTCTAGATTATAGAGAGAGATGTGGAATTGACATAAACAGATCTATTCACTAGGAAGGTACCCAGTTCGTATCTCACGTAAGGAGAGATCGATTTGAAGAGCATCTAGCCGAGATATCTAAATTGGTGGGCACTGGGCAGGTAGCTACGGTCTTCATCCCACAGAACGAAAAGTTGTGGAGTACGAAAGGGAGAATTGGAGAGTTTCCTTTTCCTGCAAGTGGCTTACAATCGTCTCTTTCTAGCAGAGAGGCAAATCCCTCTAGCTCTGGAGGACTCTGCCTCGGACCTGACCTGTCTTGGCTCCGTTGCAGGAAAGGTTTCTTGCCCCGACTCCTGTCTGCAGTCTTCACTCTCTCGTCATTGCAAGGTTGTCTGCTATGCCCGCCGCATTTGGCTCTCGACGCACCAATGCCATCCAGGACTCGGAAGCCAGGTGAGGAGGAGAAGGAGCCTTTGTAGTTTTCTCTCCAGACTGGCTCAAGCAGTTCAGCCCAGGTGGTGCCAGCATTCTGAAGCGGGAAAGATGCCAGTGAAGAACCCTGGCACATCAGAGGTGCCACAGGCACAAGGTGGATGAAAAAGTATTTCTCTCTCTCTGTGAGCCAGCGTGCGGCAGAGGCCGTTTCCCCGATGAGGAACCAGCAAGTGAGCTGGCACCATTGGATCTTCCTCTTTGCTGGCACCCTTCCAATCTGATCAGGTGAGTTTTGTGGAGACTTCAGAGCTGGGAGAGGCTTTGGTCCCTGAGATACCCCTTCTCAAACTTGGCAGAAAAGAATGATAAGCAGGACTAGACCTTGTTTTTCCCCTCATTGCATCAAGGATTCAAAACGAACAGTAATCATAATTTTGGGTGCTCCTGGCAATTATGAATATGTGTGTTTAAAAAAATACATTTATTTTATGATGAGCTTCATGGAATGGCTGTCCATATAATTTTGGCCCCTGGCCCTTTCTGCTTGTGGCCTCAGTGCTGCAGTCAGCTGTGGTAGCCAATTTGCAAGGAAGCCAATGAGCTGTGGTAACCGCTGATAACTGTAGTGCAGAGCTGGGGAACTTGGGGCCCTGCAGAATGTTGCTGGACTCCAATTCCCAGCAGCCAGCATGGCTAGTGGTCAGGGATGATGGGAGTTGTGATCCATCAACACCTGGAGAGCCACAAGTTTCCAAGTCTTGCCTTATAGGTAAGTCACCCCCTTGTATACAATACTTGACAAGAGATTGGGACACCCAGTGGCAGCGAGCAAGCTGTACAATTTTTTTGAAAATGCCCCATTCTTGCCTGATTATGAAATGCTGTGCTGCTTATAATGAAGTGTGAACAAGATCTTTGTTGGACTTTGTCAACCTGGTAGTGCCCTCCAGCTAATTTGGACTCCAGTTTGGCCTGTGATTGGGAATGATCGTATGCTGATTGGGGGCTGATGGGAGGTGTGAACAACTGGAAGGAAATTTAGGGGAAGGCTGTTCTATTTTACATTTTCAGGGGCCAAGACTAGCACCACCAGCCAAAATGCTGGACTGCGACTTGTCTTTATGTTCAAAATATCTGATGGCCAGAGGACGATACGTAAGATCTCAACAAAGTCTTTTTCTTCTTCTTCTTGTAAGATACTAGGCAGCTTCAAATAACCCAAAATGTGTGATTCTTAAGCAACTTTTTTGGAAGGTAGAGGAGCCTGGCAAGTAACTCCGCCACAGCATGCTGACCTGAGCTGAACCATTGGTCCATCTAGCTCTGTAGCATCTACTCTGACTGGCAGCAGCTCTCCTGGTTTTTGGCAGGGGGGATTCTCAAGTTCACTTGGGAGATGTCCGGGATTGAACCTGGGACCTTTTGCATACAAGGCACGTGCTCTGCCCCTGTGCAACAGCCTTGCCCTTTAGGAAGTTGCTTTGAAACAAAACCACTGGTCTGCCTAACTCAGCAGATTGTTTGCACTGATTTGCAGCAACTCTCCGAGGTTTCAGGGCAGGAAACTTCCCCAGCCCTACCCAGAGATACCAGAAATTGAATCTGAGACCTTCTGCCTGTGAGGCAGATACTCCACCACTGATATTCCTGGCCTCGTGGTTTGGAATAAAGGGGTGATTTAAACAGGAACACAGCAAGTTGCCATGTCCTGAATCAGACCATTGGTCCATCTAGCCCAGTTTTGTGTACACTGGCTGGCAAAGGCCTTCCAGGGTCTTAGACCAGAGTCTCCCAACTGGAGATACCTGGGATTGAACCTGGGATCTCCTGCATGGAGGGCAGATGTTCTGCCACTAAGCCGCAGCCCCAACCCTCCACAATCAGTGAGCCCAGCTTTGCAAACAGTTTCCACATGAAGGCTGTAAATTGTGACACCCCCATCCCCCTTTTCAGATCTGAGGGCAGACCCACAGCTAAAGATTCGTCTCTCTAGGTGGCTACTGAGAGAACAAGGTTGGCCAAAGGAGACGAGCAAAGGCAGAGGTTTGAGATCTGTGTGGCAAAGCAGGTCGATCAAAGCCACCGTCCCCCTCTGGATGCTGCCATTTTAAATTAGGTCAGTCGTTCATCCTGGATAGATTTCTGCAGCGCACCCCCTCCTTCTTTGCAGAGCAGAATTTATTGTCAGTGGCAGGTGCCTAGAGAACATTTTGTGAGTGAGGAGGTCCTCCCCCTCTGCCTCGCTGGGTGTCTGTGCATCCGGCTGAGGAAAGGAAAGAGCAACAGATTATCCCAGAGAGTCTGAGAGGTTGCAAGGAATCAAGAGAGTCAACTTCTTTAATAATAGCTGCACCACCCCCCTCCCACACCCTATTTTATATGTTTATTTATTTAAGGGGGTGGGGAGCCTTTTTCAGCCTGTGGGTTGGATCCCTTTCTGAACAACCTTTGGGAAGCCTGTGGTGGGTGGAGCCATAAATGCATCCCCCCCCCTTTGTACAGAAAGCTAGTTTCTACCCACCCACCTCTGTATCCCCCCATCTAGGCAAGCAAAAGAGGAATGATCAGAGTTCAAGAAAAACATGCTAGCTGGGCAAAAACACTCAAGGAGGGTGCAAAAGAGGGTGCGACCTGGGGACAGTCCTGAGGGCCAGACAGAAAGGTCTGGAGGGCCACATTTGGCCCCCCCAGGCTGAGGTTCCCAACCCCTGATTTATTTTATGAGATTTTTATCCTCCCCTTCCTGTAAGCTTCCAAAGAAATTAACTTATCCTTATGTACAGCTCTGCTTCCTCCTAGCCTATGATGGAAAAGGGGTGGAAATTCATCTGCCTTTGATATGGCTGTTGCCTCACCTATTGTCAGAGACAAGGACATCAGGACACCCATGCGTTGCAAACAGGCCTCGCAGCACCCGGATGACAGCTTCGGTAGTGGTGGAGGGCATCAGGGCGACCTCCAGCCATTTGGAATAGGCGTCCACCACTACCATAAAGGTCCGGCCGTGAAAGGGGCCAGCCAGATCGATGTGCACCCTCGACCAGGGTGTCTTTGGCGTCTCCCAGGTGTGTCCCTTAGCTGCCGGTGGTGCAGGCCTCGACTCCTGGCACGCTTGACAGGCGGACACCCAGGCAGTGATGGCATCGTCCATATTAGGCCACCAGACGTAACACCGAGCCAACGCCTTCATTTTGACAATTCCCGGGTGGCCAACGTGCAGAGCCTCCAGGACGCGCTGACGGAGTCCCTGGGGAATCACGACGCGGTCTCCCCACAGCAGACAGCCGCGATGAGCTGAGAGTTCATGTTGTCTGGTTGCGAAGGGCTGGAACTCCGATGCAAAAGGCCCTTGTGGCCACTCCCTCCACACCCAGTTGAGCACCCGGCTGATGGTGCGATCCTGGGCAGATGCGGAGGCCACAGTGGCAGCCGATACAGGCGCTGCCGGAAGATCCTCAATCAGAAGGAGCGATGAAGCTGGAGCCGGGTCTTCCACAAATGCTGGAAGAGGGCAACGGCTAAGGGCGTCGGCATGGCCCATCGATTTCCCCGGGCGATGGATGAGCCGGTAGTGGTAGGCAGCCAGGAAAACAGTCCAGCGCAGCATGCGTGGTGAGAGGACCGGTGGAGTTGGACGATCACCGGCGAGGAGGCCCAGGAGTGGCTTGTGGTCAGTGATGAGGTCAAAAGTCCTGCCATAGAGGTATTCATGGAACCTCTTCACTCCAGCCACAAGTGCCAATGCCTCCTTGTCGAGCTGGCTGTAATTCCGTTCCGTCGGAGATAGAGTCCTGGAAAAGTAGGCGAGCGGTGCTTCTCTTCCATCTGGAAAACGGTGACTAAGGACAGCACCGATGCCAAAAGGTGAGGCGTCGCAGGCAAGGACCAGCGGCCTGGATTCACTGTACTGTACCAGCACACTGTCGGAAGAAAGGAGAGCCTTGACCGCGTTGAAGGCCGCCGTCTCCCGATGACCCCAGGCCCAAGGTGTCTTAGTGCTAAGGAGTCGGTGAAGAGGCTCAGCCACTGTGGCTTTGTGGGGCAGGAACATGTTATAAAAGTTCAGCAGCCCCAGGAATGCCTGCAACTCCGTTTTGTTCTTTGGGGTGGGGGCCTGCTGGATAGCGCGGATCTTGGATGTGGTTGGATGAAGACCGGAGGCATCGATAAGATAGCCCAGGAACTCTACCTGTGGAACGGCGATCTGGCACTTCTCCCTCTTTACCTTGAGCCCGGCCTCCTGGAACCTGGTCAGCACGGCACGGAGGCGCTCGAACAGCTGCTGGTGTGAGTCTGCAGACACCAAGACGTCATCAAAATATGGTACCACGCCCGGAAGCCCTTGCAGGAGACGCTCCATAAGGCTTTGGAAGATGCCAGGAGCCACACTCACCCCGAACTGCAACCGGCGGCAACGGAATGCCCCCCGGTGGGTGACGATCGTCTGGGCTTCAGCAGTGGCATCATCGACTGGCAGTTGTTGATAGGCTTGGGCAAGGTCCAGCTTAGCGAAGACCTTACCCTCACCCAGGGAATGCAGCAGGTGTTGGACAACAGGAACCGGATAAGCGTGCTGCTGAAGTGCCTTGTTGATCGTGCACTTGTAGTCAGCGCAGATTCTCACCGACCCATCTGGCTTGACAGGCGTGACGATGGGGGTTTCCCACTTTGCGTGGTCCACCGGCTCCAAAACTCCTTGGGCGATCAGTTTGTCCAGTTGTTCGTCCACCTTAGCCTTGAGAGCAAAGGGAACCCGGCGTGGCTTTAGCTTGATGGGGGCGACTTGTGGATCAAGGCTAAAGGAGATGGGCGTACCTGTATATTGGCCCAAGGTGCCGTCAAAAACCTCGGCAAAGTCTTTGACCAGACCCTCAGTCTCTGCGTTAGAGATGCAGTTGATGCCGGTGACTTCCAGGCCGAGGGCATCAAACCAGTCTAGCCCTAGGAGGCTTGGCCGCTGACCTTCGACCACCACCAACCGGAGCAGGCCCGAAAAATCCTTGAAGGCGATCCGGAACCGGCCAACGCCTACCACGGGAATGTCATTTCCCTGGTAGTCTCTTAGGTGTACGCGGTGAGAGTCGAGTTGCCTTTTGGACACTCTGGGTACCAGTCTTTTGATGGTGCTCCATGACACGATGGACAGGGCAGACCCGGTGTCGATCTCCATGTCACATGGAGCTCCTTCAATGAGCACCGTGACGTTCAGCTTGCGTCGCGTAGGCGAGTCGGTTTGGCCAATCGTGGTTCCAGACGGGCAGCGGCAGTTGGTGAGAGCGAAACAA